TTGGTTAATAAAATAATATAATAATTAATTTACATTTTTTTACTTTTTTTGTATGGCTACTATAACATTTAAATACATATGTGCTGCTTTATACTTCTCTTAGGATAGGCATTGCCTACATATGCGTATAATTCAGTTTATTTTATATAAGAACATTGAAGGAATGTGGGAAAAATCCATTAATATATGGAGGTTAAAAAGACTCAGTATATTTGCTGCAGCATTGAGATTAATGAACTTTTCATTAAAAATTTTTCTCTACCAGTCCTTATCTGATAGTTTATCCTATTTTAAGATGATAGACTGGGACTCAAAAAAGGTTAAAGGAGAATGTCCAAGCCCCAAATCAGGATCAATCTTGGCATAATATCAAATCCCTAACCTTTACCTTAGATCCATTCTCTTCGAGTGAGGACACCACCTTTCCCACAGTTTTCCTTTTCAAAGATGGCCGTCGCTACCAAAACTATACTAGCCACAACTGTGAGGATTTACCATACTGTACTTCAAAATAATCATGTTTGCTTTTTACCAAATTGAAATAACACGTAAGTTTCCCCATCTTGCCAATTCGGAATTGTCATCTTTCCATGGTTTCCCTCCCCAGGTATAATCACAGTAACATCTCAGCTTGTTTACTAATGCCTAAGACTGATCACTTATCTTTGTGGTTTGACAATGGATGAAACTCAGACACATTCTTGAGGCTGGGAGGGGCACCTTGCAGGTGGTCGTAGAGAAAGTTGATTCAGTGCAGCGGTGTGTTAGTTATTCATTGGTGTGTAACAAATTAATACAAACTTAGTGGCCTGAAACGTACCCATATTAGTTCATATTCTCTGGGTCGGCAGAAGTTCAGCAGTATGGCAGGTTCTCTGCTCAAGGTATCACGGCTGAAATCAAGCATTTGCAAGTCTGAGTTTCATCTGGAGGTTCTTGGGGGGGAAATCTGGCTCAGTTTCTTGTTGCAGAATTCAGTTTCTTTGTGAGATATAGGACTGGGTCCCTGTTTCCTCTTGGCTATCAGTAAAGGGCACTCTCTGTCCTAGAGGCTGCCAACATTCCTTGTCATTCCCCATCCCACCACAACCTTCCCAGCATGGGTTTATTGCATCAAATCCTTTTTCTGCTGTGATCTCTCTGATTCCTTTTCCACCACAAGCAAGAAAACTCTCACTTTTAAGGCTCATGTGATAGACCAAGCCCACTTAGATAATCTTATGTATTTTGCAACTAAACATGTAACTAATCATGGGAATGATTATTCTCCTATTCACAGGTTCTGGGTTTGGGGCACAGAATTGCAGCGGGGCTACATTTTTAATGTCCACCAGTCCTGGGGATTATGCAGGGTATGTGCACACCACAGTGACAGTTGACAGTGACAGTGCAGTGACAGGAGCAAGACCAGAATCTCTCCAGTATTTTAGCTTAGCTAGCCATGGGGGGACGACACAGAGTTTGAATCCACTGGAGGCAGTAACATTTGGCTGGGGAAGACGGGATGTGAGGGTTCCTGGTGTGATCTTCCCTGGTCTTCTTTACTTCAATCTTTATTCATGACCTTTCTTATGGAAGCAACATGTCTATCTCAGGTGGGGTGAAAGTCGGCACATTCTTTTCATCTCTCGGTTGTATAAGGGTTCAATAGCTTCAGGGCTTGAGGGTGGATGTTCCATGTGCCCTATTGGGGAGCTCTGGTGAAACCACAGAGATGGATTCTGCTGGTAGCTGCGAGTGGCTT